TATATCGTTTCACTGAGAATTTACACTAACTAACAAAGGAGATATTGTTTCACTGAGAATTTACACTAACTAACAAAGGAGATATCGTTTCACTGAGAATTTACACTAACTAACAAAGGAGATATTGTTTCACTGAGAATTTACATGAATTATTGAATTTACGAGAGCACTTTCCAATCTCTTTCTCTGTACATAAGGACATTTCAGTTTTCAACGTCCAGAACATCTGAAAGATGGGACTGAGGGCTGTTCAGCTCAACCTCTCGGTTAGAAGAGACGTGTGAAGAGAATGAGCTACAAATAATCTTCTCTCCTGGTAGGTCGAAGGCGTGAGTAAGAACATGCCGTCGAAGGTCACAGTTTCGACGGAAGACCTTACTGCAGGAACCGCAGTTGTATGGCTTGAGGTCGGTGTGGGTGAGAAGGTGTGTTTTTAGGTTACTCCTTTGGTTGAAAGTGCGACCACACGTTGCACACTTGTGAGGAGAACTCTCCAAGTGAAGGATTCTGTGGACCGCTAAAGTTCTAGACTGACAAAAGCCTTTCCCGCACTCTGAACACTTGAACGGTTTTTCTTTCGAATGAATGTACCTAGAAATGGAGAAAGTAGAACAAAACATAAGATATTATCTGATTAGCTACATTTGATATATAAACCAATTCGTGAAACTATATTCCAATTATTTATTCTTACTACCAAATCTAGCTAATGTTATTTTAGAAATATGATTGTGTCAATCTTATGCACAACTTCAAATATGAAACAGAGGAGATTTAAGTTACATAGAATTATGTAAAGATAAAAGTCATCGGAAATAGCGGAATTAAAAAGTAAATGCTACTCGAGGGGCATGGACCGCCCTCTTCCACTATTTTGAGCCGTAATGCACGATCCATTCGATGGATGCAAAGACACCCGGTGACAAACGCGTGGCATTAAACGTCACTTATATTTTGCGACGCTGGTTTCTCGTATTTTGCTACCGACCTCCTCACTCAATTGTGTGTGTGTGTGTTTTGTCTATGGCAAAACCACTAAGGCTATCTACTCCCATCCTTAATTTTGAACAGCTGACCAGAGAAAAGGCAACCAGCTGGCAGTACCCACCGCCAACTCTTTTACCAACGAATAGTAGAATTAACCGTCATACTATAACGCTCCCATGGCTGAAAGGGAGACCATACTTCGGCGCCTGGTTTCGATCATGCAACCCGCAGATTGCTAGCAAGTGCCCTAACCACCAGGCTCTCTCTCATTTGTGCCCTCATTCGTGTCATTAAAACGGTAAAATTGACATGGCTGCCAAAAGCGAACTATTTGTTTGATTACTTGTTCATTTTGCCGACACCAAACAAACAGACGGATATTTTTTTGTATGGATATATGCAAGCTCATTTGATGGTTATATCATTTTTCACTATATAATCGAAGAACATGATAGCCGAGAAAGTAACTTTTATTTTACGTTTAACCCATTTTTTTTTTTTTTGGAGTGTGGCTCAACAAATATCGTATTTTATTTTTCTCTAATGCCATTCACCTGTTTCTGTGGTTACTAAGTTGAAAACAATCAAATGATTAGCTGTTTATCAAAACTCATTCTATTTCACTTGACAAATAATTTTGGCAAAGAAATCAGTAATAAGTTCTTACAGCATTTATAAGGACACGGACATTTGAAATATAAGTTAATTATGTCAAGCCAGTGATTTCAAAACAGACAAAACATAATAATAATAAGAGATTCTAGAATCGCCAAAAGAAAAAAAAAACCAACAACAACATAGAAATCATGTCACTACATATCATTAGCACTTCTTCCAAGCGCTTCGCGTGGAATCCACGTGCAGTAAGGACTTATGGTTTCGCAGGCGTATTTAGCAGGCGATTTTTAAACTAGCGCGAGAAGTCTATGGTTAAACTGTTATTGCTTACTTTACCAAGCGGGAATACGCAACTATTTATTTAATATATAGTCAGTTATAATCCATTAAACAGAAGTTACCAATTTTGAAGCCGGTTAAGATAAAATGAGTTCTGCCTCCTCAATTCCACGTTATTGGTGATGATGGAAAAATGCCCTGTACGAGGAACACATATTTCACTATCTATAGACCTATATTTATTTTGAACATGTAAGGATAATTTTAGAAGTTGGAAGAGGTTAAAATACATTGTTAATAATTAGGTCGCTGTTTATTTCCTTATTTGGAAGGATTAAACAAATAAAAAATTCCAAGATGACTTTCGTCTACCTGTGGTCTCTGAGATGATCTTGTCTTCTGAAAGCTTTCTGACATACATCACAGGTGTAAGGGCGTTCATCAGTATGTGTTCGTTCATGAATCAGTAAGTTGTAGGATTTGGTAAACCTTCGTTGACAATACTTGCAGATGAATTCCTTCTTAGGGCGCGAAGTGCATCTACCTCGTGTTCCTTTATGGTTGAACAGTCCAGTGCCTAAATTGGTGTAGTAAGGCGTCACTAGTGGAAAGGTACGGCTGGCAATGATCGCAGACATTGATGTCTGGGATGGATTGCTCTGTCCTTGAAGGTCTAAGGATTTGGGGTGTAAACAATCCAGATCTTCGTCTTTAGACGTAGCGGATTCAGCTAATCTAGCAAAATCAAACCTAGGTTTCTTTTTAGACAGAGAAGTGGATAAGTCAAATACCATCGCCTTTTTTTCTGATTTGTCATCAGAACTTACAGTCTTCTCTTGACCCACTTCCGGAGTCTGAGTAGTTTCTGTCATAAAAATCGGGTACCCTCCCACGTGTTTAGTACATTCGATCATTGCGACAAAAGGATGCGGAAGCAAGGGGAAAGGGGCTGCGATATGCATCTGAGGAGGAGAGTAGAAGTTCTGTAGCATCGTGCGCATGGTGCAAGAATTTCTGAGTTCTGAAAACTGTGGTTTGGACGTTACAGAAAGTAAACTGTTCCACGACGCTTGTGTCTCCCGTTGGTCTGTCACTGAATAACCCTCATTAACAAGGATGGATGAACACTTTACACAATGAGGAGTTGTGGGTTTCTGTCGAGCGACATCTACCGAGAAGACAAACATATATATATATATATATACGTGTAAAAACACATAGACAAAGAAATAGTGTTTTTACAAACTTGTATGAATATACTTCTTCATTATTTGTATAATAATTAAAAGTATATGGACGCACATGATGTCATGAATACTTAAGGAAAGCCTTTTTAGTGTCATAATCACGTAATGTTGATCGAAATATTTTGTAGCATGTAAAGATAGCTAAATTCTATAATGTGAAAAATTTCATAGAGTAAATCAAACAAAAATAAAAAGTAGGATTATTTAACTTATTTAAAAACCATGGAAGGCATATCTGTTTAGGCTAGAACTAAATATTATATAACAAAAATTGCAAGCTAATAAAAACCATGATAAAAAGTAGGAAAGTACAGTAAACTGGGTCTTATGGCACTTGATACTTTTAGTTAACTATAAAAACATAATTTGGATGTAGCATTATGGTACTGAGCTAATCAGATACATACTTAATTAATAGAAATAAGAAAGATATCGGTGTCGGCCAGAAATGTAGAGAGATTGCGTATTATTTCCGTAACGCTGTTATTTTGATTCATTTCAGAGCTTCTAGAGTGCTAAGAGACTAAGTTAATTAAACGAACAATTAAATATATTATGAACAACTTAAGACTACACACAAAGAATAAGCTTGAATTTAAAATTTCAAATTAAGTTGGCACTTCCTACAGAACAAAATATATATATATCATCTATACATTATTTAACAATGTAGGAGGTTACGTTATATCTGTGGTTCTAAAACCGTGAGAATGTATAAGACCTACATTATATTAATCAGGCCTCGGAACAGCGACTACGCCACATTCACTAAATGAGAGCACACGAATCGTGATAGCCCCCGTTTCTATACTATAAATAAGGACATAATTATGTAGACCCAGCTTCGAAGTATTTATGAAAAAAGTATGGGCGCCATAGTGTGCTGAAGAATTCGTGAAGGACTACTTGTTCATGTGCCTAACTCTAAACTCACCTGAGCGCTTGCCGTCAAGTTACACATCAACTCTTTAAGAGATATCTAACGTCTGAAAGTTGAAATATAGCCTATATAAGGTTAATGGCATCGGTCTGAAAGACAAGTTTATATGTGATGTGTTTCTGCTCTTTTACCTTCTTTTCTTAAGTCGTTAATACTGATCATAGTCACGTGAGGTGCAGATCCGCGCAGAATGGAGTCAGTGGCTAAGCCATTTAATTTTAACTTTAAAAGCCTAGCAATTTTCGATGACTTTCCCATATTTACCAAGTTCACCAACAAAAGCCAAGCCCAAAGCCGAAGCAAAGTACACTGTAATTTACTAACAGTTACACAGTAATTTTACATGGCTTAGAAGTTGGTTTATTACTCAGTAAAAAATATAAAATAATGTTTGGGTAGTCTGGTCACGTCTTTGTCTCTGAGACCAATATAAGCTCTCGTACATCTGCCTCCAAATTTCGAAGAATGACAATAGAAAGAAAATTGTTGTCATTGCTAGTTTGAAACTTGAGAGGTTGAATTCTATGCTATTAATAATACCAGCCTGCGGTTCGTGCTTCCTTCTTTCAATAGACACCACACCCAACCACGCGCCCTTCTCACACCCAACCACCTTCGTGCTTTTCAAGGCTACGCGTCCCCTAACTTAAACCACTGAATTCACATCACGTCAGAAACCTTTCTATCCGAAATATAATAATTTAGAACTGGTAGAAATGATGTTTTTACCTATTATTATAAATACTGTTAGATGTTTTATCTACAAGTACACAACTTCACAGGTTAGTTATTCCCTTGTTACACCTGAAACCTTAGTTTCTCGTCTTCTTCAAAAACGTTTCATGGCATGGATTTTACTTGCTACTTGAGAAGACCATTTTGTTTTTACTTATCGTTTAGGAAACAACTGATGGTTTAAGCTAGTCATTTGGGAATGGTTAAGCATGAATCAAGATCAAAACATCGGGTTGGTACACCTCTGAATGACTGATGATCATTTATAGCAATGACTTTTCGGCAAGTTAAGTGTTACTAATAACTGTTATTATTTTCAGAGGCTAAAAGTTTGATTAGATGACATTTTTCTAACTTTAGTGTAAAATACGAGGACATCTTACGTCACTATATAAAAATGAAAATATATTCTGAGACGAGAATAAATTATAGTTTTAGTGTCGTACATAAATTTTATCAAACAAAAGGAAGAGACAAGTTCTGGTATTGACGATCATACCATAGTATGAAAGTATAAACTGGTAATTACAACCGTTCTATACTCTGAAAATGTTAAATTATGTCTCCTTTATATCGCGTTCATCAGAATATACACAGAGGTTGGTGATCTAAGTTTCTTTATAGTGTGCATAATTTCATTATTTTAATATAATTAAACAAGAAGCGTTTTCAAAACGCTTGATTTCATATACACCATAATCGTAATGCAAAGTATAGAAAAAACTTTCAGAGTAATTATGTAATTTGTGATTAGTACAGACACAAATAGTTGGTAAACGATATGGTTTGTGGAAATGGAAGATTTAAGATGGTCTATTAGCTTCAACAATATTTTTTATGGAAAACAATAACGGATACGCACAATTATGCATCTGATTTCATAAATTAACTTCTGACAAAGCATATTAATCCATTTACATCCAGATTAGATTATGTCTTAATTTTTGGTCAGCATACACAAATAACACAAAATCTGCGCTATTCCAAAACTGTAATTTTACAAGGATATAATTCAGATATCCGTTATATTTATTAAAATCGTGTTTTTAGTCACGGAATATTCATTTGACAGAATTTTACTAATTTGTACAAGTACGAGCTACGTGTTTATCAAGTGATTTACTCAAGTGCTTCTAAAACGGTAAAAATGACAACAGCTGTAAAAACAAAACAATAAGACCAAATTCCTTCAAGTTACGTTTTACACTAGTAATAATAACGGTAAGCAAAACATTTTTTTTCGTTTAGTTAATGTTATGTTTGCGGTATTCTTACAGTGTCAATTTTGTTAACGTCATGACAAGTAAAAATGTCGTGTTATTTTAGAAATACTTGTTTTTCAAAATTATTTATAGACAATCGTAAAAAAGTTTGAAGTTCACTAGATTCTTTGATGGACGTTAAAGAAAAATAGGTATTAGAAATCGTATATAGCTGAAGATCGAAGACAGAATATAGCTAGAACTAGAAACGTATTAACATGATAATAATAATAGCTATTTAGAGCAGATTTTGTAAAATTCTGTACTGAATACCCGTATGTATTAATTAAGTTATCATAGATTTGTGGTTTCGAAATAGATTCTACTTCAGAACTTCAAAATGGTTGATCCGCGGCTGGCAACAAATGATTTACTTTTAACCTTTCCACATTCCGTTGATAAATACAAACAATTACACATTGTGATGTCAGAAAACCAGAATAAAAATAAGACCAAATACTTCTTTTGCAAGTAAAGCAACACTTCAAGAAACACTATTGATTTTCTGCAGATAATGGTGTAGAACTTAATTTAGAACTTTTTCCTTGTTAATTACGTTAGGATAAAGGAAGAAAAATATTAAAATACGGGATACATCTGTGGTTCTTTATAGAAAATACTTGTGTAACTGTTTCACTTTTTTTTTACATGCTAAACTAGGGCAAAACAATAAATAAAGTACAACAACAAAAAGAGAGAATTTAAAATGAAACCTATTGAAATGCCTTTTTTTTTCTGGCTAAATTGACAGTTAAGTAACTGCGACTTCTCTCTAAACTTCTTTAAGTTTTAAATGAAGTAAGTAGAGCAGACTTTGAAATTTTTCTGTTTACCGAGGGACTGAAATTCTAAGAAACTCACTTATGGCCAAAAATGTGTTTAAACCCCAAAAAATTATATGTAAAATACAAGTTCTTTTTAATTTTTTATGCACGTCCAAAGGAGTATATTTATTTACCAAATAAAGAAAAAAACATTTGTTAACATTAACCTTATTTGAAAAAAAAAACTATTAAAAAGTGAATTTAAATTTTATAAACAAAGAATACCATTGCGCCACATCTCTTAATAAACTTCTAGATGACATATATGTAATAAGTTTACTAATTAGGATATCCTTTACTGTCTTATGGTATTGTACAATAAAAATAAGTCAAGAATGAATAAAAATTGATACTCAGATCATTTATGACTTTATCTTTTCTTAAGACTGATTCAGAAATAACCTTAAAAAGCTCGCTATGAGTTGTTATCATAAATTACAACGAACATTATTAACATCAAGGAAATCTAGTTAAGACTTTGTAAATCTTGGTGAAACATTATTTTAAAAAAATTAAGGGAATCAATCTAAATGTTCCGTAGCCTAATTCATACACTTCTTTCTCTTCAAGAACCGACACATTTGTTTACTCCACTTACAAATGGTAGGTCGCTCACTTGGTTTTCTTATTTACCAACGCAAAACTTTAAACCAAAGATGCTGAAGAGATGACTTGTATATTTTTTGTGACGATTAAATTTCTTTTTTTTTTTTGTAAAATGTAAAACAACAACAACAACAAAAAAAAAACGCAAACCCGCACACGGAAGCTCCCAGTGGTCTTCGATCATAATTAATACGGCATAAGGAGATGTGTTATAACAATGTTGACTGACGTCTGTGAAATCAGATCCCAGCGCACATCAGAGTTTTATGCCCCTCGCACTCAATTTAAATATCTAGCTCTAAAGAAAAACAGCGTCCCTTATTATTAAGGAAACATAGAATTTTAAGTGCTATAGTATTTTAAAGTTACTTCAAAATGTCGGACACTATATTAGAGAAGAAAAAGAGGAAGAAGTGATTGGAAATTAATTCATGAACTACCACCGTCTTTTTCGCCCACACATATTCAGTTTAATAGCGTTAATTTCTTTAAACTATTATTTTTCGCACTGCCAACTTAGACAAGCATAGTAGTTTTCAAACGTAACGCCATGT